ATTTTCTCCTTGCAATTTAGTGATAAAAAACACAGTGAATATACCTTTTCACTTTTTGAAGTACACATAACACTCGGATTTAAATCCGAGGTTTTCGCATTTATTTTGATTAATATAACTAGTGTAAATTTTGCTTTTACACTTAAGTTTTAGAGCTTCTGATTGCGAAAAAGATTTGGTTCTTTTATAACAAAATTTTCGATCAACTTTCTCTTCGATCAATTTTCGTATAGAGCAATTATCGGCAAGCAATTTTCGTTCGAGCAATTTTCGCTTTCCCAAAAAAAAATCGATTTTCTCAATAATGAAACAATATTTTTTTTAAAACCATGCATAGCTATTTTCCTAGCCGTATGACGAGTAAACGTGCTGGTTGCAATACTTTAGTTTGAAAAATTATCAAACTTTGAAGAAGTTGAGAAAAAAAAACTCCTATACGGTTTTGCCAAGTGACGCCATTGTCGCGTCCCTCGACCTTCACGATGAATAAAAAATTGTTTTAGTTATCTTGAAAGAAGTAAAAAATTCTTTACTACCAGACGAGAGAATTTTTATTCTTATGAGTATTTTCATAATGGATATCGTATTCATCTGATATCGACACTTGTTTTCTAGATTGTGTCTAATCCCATAACAGATTGGTATAAAAACATGTATTTCTTTTTTATTCCCCAGTTGCTGAACAGCTGTCTCTCAGTAATGCTCATACGTATACATTTTCCGGTTCACGAAAGAAATTTGTTTGTTCATTAATATATAAAACATGTAGAACAAACGAAATTAGATACACTATAAAGAATTTAAAATAAAACTGTGAAAAGTGATGAACTAATCTATTCGATAATTGGAATTGGTAGACTTCTCTATTCTGTAAAAAAAAGGAGTTTATTCTATTTTTTATTTCTTTTTCGCAACAAAAACATTGTTCGTATAAGCAGAAAACCAAATTTTTAAAGGTAACTGAATTTTATCGAACCATGACAAAAAAAATAATTTTTTCTGCTTAGATTTCGAATTATCAGCATCATACCAGTAATCATCCATTCGTATGCAATGTGAAGTCGTTTGACAAGTTTGATTGAAACAATGTTCACAAAAAAATTCCTAGATGAAAAAAACATTTTATCGAAATAAATTTCTTAAATAAAGACGAAAAAACTTTGATAGGTTTTGCTGTATGTATATCAAAACTATCATAACCACAAAAATTAGATTGTTTTGTAGATTTTTCACAATTTTTTTCTGTTTGAAACTGTTGAAATGAAATTGGAAATAATTTATTATTAATACTCTATAAGAAAAATAAAAAAAAAATTTTTTGAAGTAATATTAACAATACCTTTAAATATTCTAATGGATATACTTCAGCTGATTCAATATATAAAGAAAGAAGTAATGGTCTTGTTAATTGAATTTCTTGTTTATTAGAATTTCTCACTCGTTCGATTATGATTACATCGGATTTTTCCTGTTTAAAAATTGAAAATACGAAAAAATTTGCAATATTAAATTGTCTTACAAATGATTCTATGTTTGTTGTTTCATTAATTATTATTTCTATTGATTGGTATTTTTCTGTATAATCCATTTGAATAGAATGAAAGAGAAATAGTATCAAATAAAACATCTAAAATGACCTTTTTTTTCTTTTAACTTTATCTCAATATTATTTAATAGAACAGAAAATAATGAAATTTAATCTTGTTCAATACTTTATCGTTATATAAAAAGAAAAGATTTTAGAGAGACGAGAGAGAGAGAGAGAGAGAGAATGTTTGACCTATATATATATATAAGATTGTTGACTACGTAATATTATGTTCATTCTGACATAACTCACACTTGATCTATTAAACAAAAAAATACAGAAGAAGGTGCTTATAATAACATCAATAATAATGTCATTTATGATCGACAACATTCTTGGTTCATCATTGACATCAACAAATATAAAACGAAGACCACTTGAAACATTAACAAATACTCTTATAAATGTCTCCTTGAATAGTAAACAAAAAGAACGTCGTATGTGGAAATGTGAAATATGTGAAAAATCATTTGATCGTCCATCATTATTAACACGACATATTCGTACTCATACAGGTAAAATAAAAATAAAAAGATTTTAAATTAATGAAAATAATTCTTCTTTATTTTTTTTTATTGTTTAGGTGAAAAACCACATGAATGTGATGTATGTTCAAAAGCATTTTCAACATCATCATCATTAAATACTCATCGTCGTATTCATTCAGGTGAAAAACCACATATTTGTGATATATGTAATAAACGTTTTACTGCATCATCAAATCTTTATTATCATAAATTAACTCATAGCAAAGTAAGAAAAANCATTACACAACAACCCAGGAACCATGTGCACAGGATCATTATGTATATATCATTCCTCCTCCTCCCCCCCCCCCCCCCCCCCCCGCTTCAACAGACCGTGACAGACGTTATTGGTATACTATCAAAGGCAACTGCATTGTATTTCACATTTCAACCTCACAGGGACTACACGAACAGTTCTCTCATTTGAGTCATAATATCAGTGTGGACATTTTTATTACCGAACAAAAAGTCAAAATGAGATAGAATAACAGTTAGTTCTGCCTTTTAAACATCAATAATGGTAGACAACGATGATGTTTGATAAGGAAGACAAATAAAATTAAGAAGAATAAAATAAAAAGATTGGCAGAAGTTTATTAACCCGAAAAAGCATACAAAGGTTGATCTTGCCCTTTGCCTGGCCAATCAATTTGTTGACATTGACGCTTGCACATTATCTCGAAGATCAATTGATTGAATACCATTTCAAGCTCAAATATTGAATAGATAATCGATGACGATGATAAATATAATGTATAAATATGGACTAATTGTTGTTGTTTATTGCATTCATCAATCATTTGTCGTAAACGATGTTCGAGTTCAACATCAAGTAGATTTGATGAATCAACAAGGCAAACAATGGCTGTTGAGCGATCAGTCAATGATCGCAATTGTTGAAATGGACCATGTGCAAACTGAAGATAATCGTGAACAGTTGGTGATGACCAGTAGAGACCTTCGACAAATTTATAGAGAAGATTTTGACACACATCGATCAAAGGCGAAGAAAGAATCAAATGAAATGGGCCTCGTGAAAATTGTTGATTTTTATCCTCGATCATCGCTTGTTGGAGAATTGAGTAGCCTGACAGCAATGACGATGATGTATTTTTAATGAGAGTCGTTTGCAACTTAGCTTTTTCGATAAGATGGATGTTTGTGAAACGTTGAACGAATAGAATGACAGCAAGAAAACCACATGCTGGGCCAATAACACGAATCAAAGTCGTGTATTCATCATTAAGTGGAAACTGAATAGTTTCAATTTTCTCTTTATCAATCCATGAACATTTTCTTTTCATCTGCTCGTCGTTCATTGAAGTGAATACAAGAATATGTGAGAAATTTTCTTGTCCATATTTGAGTATCATTTGAGCATTGGGTGATAAGCCTTGACTGAATAGGATTAGCATTTGATTCGAACGAAATCTTGTTGTTAATCGTGTAAAACCCGTAAAACCGATAAATAATGCCTGACGATCAGTATAAAGATTTATAAGAAGAGTTAAATAACGAGCATGTGCTTCTGAACTACCTATGCCAGTTATAATGAATGATTGAGCATCTAGTATTGAAGACGACAATGCGGGAAATATATCTTCCAACATACCAAGAAGAAATGATGGAATTTGAGAAAGACGCTGTTCGATTAGACCATGTCCTAGTGGATCGTTCGTGTTAGAAGTAGCCATTTGTTCTTCTTAACTTTGATAATTTCTAATGTTTCTTAATTAAGCTATTCAAGGTTCTATTTCTAAAATAAAACGAACATTTCAAATCAAAATTTCTCATTATCGCGCATCGTTTTGTATGTCTTCAAAAGTTCATTTTAAGCTTTCTCAATAGTAACATATATATAACTCCTTTTTCAAACTTATTCCTCTAGTTGAATAAAAGGTTTACCGGATTGAGACTGCCTATCTTTTTCTTGTATCCCTCTGCGACTCCTTTGACTCTGTTGTCTTATTGAGACTGCTTGCTATTGTGACTGCATCGTATGTTTGATAAAGATGCAAATATTTGCATTAGATGCAACACATAATAACTTTCAGTTATTGTATCAAAAATGCAAACCACCAAAGGAAAAAGGACGACAAATAGTAGATAAAGAATCAATGATTATTTTTCTTTCATATTTCGCCTTTGACTCTGCAAGGATTGTGTATCATCAATGATTAGATTTAGTCTTTCGGTAAATATTTTTAAAAAAATGCTGATCGATCTCTCTCATTTTTGGTGATGAAATTGATAGTGAAAATATCGAATCTGACGTAATGGAAAATCATGAGAGGATAAGTATTGATCGATATTGGTGAATATATCCTTCCTTATTAAAAGCTTCAATCGTGGAGATAGAAGTAAATATTTTAAGATATATCTAACAAAATACAAGAACAGATGTCAGATAAGACATTATTTCTCTCATTGATATAACGAAATCGCTTCATATTTACTGAATAAAAGAAAATACAGAAGACATTAAATCGTAGAAAATATTTGAAATATTCCATATTGTTTTCCGACATGATTAACACCTCAATGCTTGTTTGCGCAGGTATTCTACTCAGAATAAAATTTCTGGGCAACTAATACGTATCAAATCCGTTTCATGATGATGAATAAAGGAAAACGTTCATCAAAACATTAACATATTGTGTCGTAGTATATTGGCATTTGACAATGATCAAATTCATACAGAGATTCGTACTTGTTGTAAGACGCTACTGAATTAATATTTGAACTCAATTTATTTCTATTGCTTGTTTTCAAGCATGTCGAACTGATCGAAAGATCTGTAAGAAATCTAATGAATTCTATGTGGGATACAATTAAAAATGTGTCCTCCGTAAGAATCATCATGTATTCGAACTTTAATGTAAAATGTATCGATGAGATTCATTTAATTTGATCAATTGAAAAATAAGCAATTAAAATCAAATCAATCATATTGTCTTAATTAGACTAAACTCTGTTAGATGAATTGATGGATAGTTACAAATGATCATCTAAAGAATAGAAATCTGAATTGAAAACTTTTCGGAATATAACATTTACTGGAGAGGCTGTCGACGAATTTTCTAAAAGTACAGTAAATGATTTATCTGATCATGCATGAATAATTGTTCACGACATATGGAAATCAGAGTTTTAGTCAGTAATGGTTAACGGCCAATTCGACACAATTCAGTCTTGTAGGTATACATTTTTCTTTCCCGTCTGGTCTGTTTTTTTTTTGAGTTATTGCATGATGTTATTTAAATTGACCATAAAAATATTTTGTTTTCTTAAATCAAACAACTATTTGATCCAGTCAAAATTCATCATATTATACTTAATGTATTCTACCGATTCATTTTTTTGCTAAGTTATTTTATCATAAGAAAATCAAATAATTACTTAAAAATGTAGTTTATCATAGATAGTATATTTGCATCTTTTCTTCTGTTTATAGCATGTATTTTGCACAGGCATAACAGATAACAGGGCGAACATTGTGTCCGCAGTAGATTAGGTATAAATTTAATTAATAATGTCCGCGACTAACGAATAGTTCACCAATGTGGAAAGATAATAAATAGGATTTGTAATCCTAAGAAGTTTTTTATTCGACAGTTAGCACCAAAATACAGAAAATCTTACGGAAATAAATAGTATCGAGAACTAAAAAGGATTCTTATGTCATTACTTTAGTAATGATAATGCATATATAAGAGTAATCAAGTGATTTGATTTTACTGTTATAGTGATATAAAAGTTAAAAAAAGTTCATGTTCTTCTATCGCTCAATCCTGTTTGATCTGGTCATTTAGACAGATACAGATGCAGGCAGCTGTGCAGAATCTATCCGTGTGCTCCAGCGGCCGTTGGGGAAAATTTTTCGAAAATTTAGTAGTATCTGAGAAAATTTTTTGACAAATATTTTTCCTTACAGGGAAAATTTTTCAGGTTTAGAAATGAATCTCGGTTTATTTATAAATACATCGATAAAACCTTCTACTTGTCTTTTTTCTTTTCTTCTCATTCAACTTCTGCAAGAGTCATCCGCATCTTTATTGTAGTGTCAGTATTGTCTACCTTTATTTACGTTCATCATGCATATTGCTATCTCTTTGTGCCTATTCATTATATAACATACACTACTTGTGTTGTTTTCTGTTTTTTCTTATGGAATATCACTACTTATCGTTTTTCTCTGTTGCTATTGTATGTGATTGTAGCTGTGACTGTGGATGTGGATGGATCTTCTTTTTTATTGACAACTACATTCATGCCCTTGTTTGTTCTAGTTTAGTTACTTTAAATTGTTTATGAAAAATACAAGTAGAAAAATTACTTGAGCCAAACGATATTGAATTATAGAATTCGTTTTTTTTTAAATGCGTATTTGCAATGTGATTGATAATGGTAATTTTTTAGTAAACATCTTAATACGAGTAACCCCATTATTTAATTGAATTTTATAGCAAAGAAAATTTTTCGCAAAAATTTTGCTGTTCGAGGAAATTTTTTATTTTATCGTCAGATTCTACAGGACTGCTTTACCAGAACAATAGATCATTAGACAAATAATTCGTCTTATTTATTTCTAGATTTCAAACCAAATTCGTTTCTTAAAATTTTTTTTTATGTTCTAATTTTTACTTTTCTTGTTGCTGTTTGTTCGTTATTTTCTTTATTTTCGTTTCATCTTTCATAAATTATTATTATTATTATTCTAATCAGTTCATGTTTAAAATAGTAATAGATAATGATAAGAGTATATATCGAACTGTTTTTTGTGAATTGTTCTTCTTCAAATTCGTATGGTGGCGAATTATAAATAATGGTAATAGGAGCACGCAATTTAAGTCAATACTATTTTGATATCTTACGCTTTTCTCCTTTCATATAACATCTACCAAATATAACTGAGACGGTTGTCGGGACACACAAATCATACATGTTAAACTTGAAACTTGAATTTTTGAAAATTTCAATTAAATTCAAGTTTTACACTACTGCATCTGACTCGAATATGGTGAACCTTCTTGTCTTACAGTAAAAAATTTCATTATAAGATTTTTTTGTTTTTTATTGCAAAAGAAAATTTTCAATTAAATTCTTTTATATATTTAAATAGCAAACACTTTGTTCTTTCGTAAGAATAAAAAAACGATATAGTCTCTATAACGTTCCATCTTGATTTCATAAGAAAAATAAAATTATTGAAGAACTTTCCTAACATCTGTTATAACTGAGACTAGAATAGAAATAGAAGAAAATTAATGTTCGTTTTATAATCTAGTTGGATCATCTTCTGTTATTTCATTGTCATAGGCGTCGTTTTTAAAATGACCGTTGGCTTGATTTTCTTGCAATGGTACCTCGTTTATAGGATTCACAACATTTGAATGTTCTACGAAAAACTTATACCACATGTGTATCCAATGAGATGCCATCACTATGACAAGACCCAAAATAATTGCCCATGCCTAAATTATTTATTGTTAAGTTTAGTCGGATTTACTTTGTAATAGACTTACTCGCCAACTTTTCTCGACAGCTTCAGTAAGTGGTAAAAGACCATACTGTATAGAAGAAATTATGGCAGCCGATGTCCATAAAACTCCAGTTAAAGTACCAAGATATTCGGTTGGAAAACTATAATGAAAAAAGAATGATTCAATGCGAACTATTTGATTTTTATTAATCAATAAAACATGATTGGATTAATCAATTCGATAGTCATACTAGTTCATGTAAATGAAATCGGGAAAAAAATCAATTTTTTAATCATAAAAAAAATTATTAAAGTTGATTGAATTTTAAAAATCCATCATAATCTTTATTCATCAATTTTGAAATCTTAAATTATTTTAATTAACTTTAATCTATTATTTATCTAATTATTTATTTTAATCGATTATTATCTGTTGAATCGTTTTGAACCTATTATGATCTATTAATGAATTTTAATCATTTTCACAGAAGCTTTACATTTTGAACTTTTTGTATTTGAAAAAACTAGTATAAAGCTACTATTGTCCTATAAGTATATCTAAGTAATGTAAATTTGGCATTGATAACTATATAAATTGTTTCAAAAATTGATACGAAACACTTATATTAGAAATCGAATAAAATAAATTGATGTTAAAAAATATTTTTTTAATCCATTGAAATAATGAAAGTAAGATGAGAAATGATTATTCACGATTTAAATCGTTTATAATCGACTGTTGGATTGTAACCGACTTCTCTAATGTATATAAAAAAAAACAAATAATTGAATGTAGATAGACGATTGACGTTTCATTTCATAAAAGACCATATGAAAAAGTCAATAGACTTTTAGAATTTGTACAAATTATCCTGAACACTTTAAATGATAAATAAGATTAAACTTGATTTACATGACAATTTTCGAAGGGAAAAATATGTTTTGATCATCAAAATTATGTAACTACGAAATGATCATCAAATTAATCAATAGGTGAACCAGTTAAAGCGAAAAAAAAATAGTCTCCTACATTCTTTCTAATAACATGTGCTTAAAATGACTTCATTAACTCGTAATATTCATAATGAATTTCAATAGTAGCATGAAACATAACAAAACAGTGTTTAAGTAATGCTGATAGCGCAGATGTTCGTGTGGACGAAAGTGAGAATGATGATGAGGATTGGATTTCGAGTTTTCTCTGCATCAAGGTACAGAGAATCACACACTATATATATCACTTAATCATGCTTTTAGGTTTAGTGTCATGAATAGTTTTCTCTATTTTTTTTTTCATTTTCAGCTAATAATAAATTTGCGGATCAAAACACTAACTTTTTGGTGATCATTTCTCGCAGATAAAAAAATTTGTTAATCAAAATAAAAAAATGCTCATCCGTTTATGAAGATATTGAAACTCGATTCTAGAGTAATACGACAACATTCAATGTAAGCTTAATCTAATTATAATCAGTATGAAGCTATAAAAATGTTTTAAGAAATTTTAATCGATTTCAAAACAAAATCAACTTTAATTGAAAATCGATTAAAATCAGAATTTTCATTGCATTTAATCAAAATTGATATATTTAACTTGCTCGTTTTTTTTTTCGCGATGAGTTTACAACAATCGATTTTCCTCTAGAGGTGTAAGTCGAAAGGTCAAACGGCGGCGGCTGTTTTAATGGTCCAATTTTTTTTCCATAGCGGCGGCGGCGCCTACTAGACTCTATGCTTTTCTACACCGACGGCGGCTAAAAAATTCATAAAACTATCTCCGATTCTGTGGCGGTGGCGCAGCTGGATGGCTTACACCTCTATTTTCCTCTAATTTTTACGAATTTGTTGGATGCGTATCTAACTGTTGTTTAAGTTGAAGTTGATACTTACAATGATGCAACAACAGCTTGACAACCACCAGCAATGAGTGCACGTTCAATGGAATTGAGAATTATCGCAGCTATTACACAACCTTCCGTATTGAACATACGAATGATGCATACTGCTACAGCCATAAACCATGTTATTGTTTGCATTAATGCAATATTGAAGATTCGTTGTTTAGGATCTTCGTTTAAAAAAAAACACATTATTTGTTAATAATCAGTATAACTAAGATTTCTTTTCGTCTTACTATTTTTTGCTCGAAAATCTAGCAAATAACCACTAGACGGACAAATAATCAGAGCAGCAGTAGTACACAAATTGAATATTAATGTATATTTGTTAGCTACGTAAACATATAATGTGCATTCGATTCAGCGTGTAATTTATACTTACAAAGAGCTTCATTTTCATTTGTTACATACCATACCCAGGGAAACCAAGTGACAGGTAGAAATACTGCTGGTAATAGAAGAAAACTCAAGTAGAGTACCACCAATATGTAAACTGGACTCAATAAATGTTCCCATACACCAACACGTTTGATTATGCGTTGATACCAAGTCATATTATCCACATTTGATTCTTGTTCATTATTTAAAACAAATATTCAACAACTTTCTTATATTCTATTGATTATCTATTTACCGTGAGGTTGTGTTGGTTCTATGTTTGCGTTGGAATTGGTGGCAAATTTATATGGTAAATTCAAGAATTGAAATTTCCAATCCATGAAGAAGCAAGCCGTAACAAACATTATTACACCAAAAGTTGTCCATATAATTGAAAGTACTTTTAGACTGATTCGATTGTCAGTGATTAATACCTATGAAAAAGATCTATAATGATATTTGTGCATTTATTAATGATTTACTTGAAAAATTGAAAACCACATTGTCGACGAGATCGATGCACCTGAAATTATTGAAGAAACAACAGCACGAACGCCATCATTAAAATAACGACAATAGGCAAAACCAGTTATAAGAATAACGGACGACGAAATCGACGTAAAAACAGTATGAAGGAATAGAAGATAATCTCTACCTAAATAATTAAATATAAAAACTTATTTATTGATCGAATATTATAATCGATTTTTTTTTACCTGGTTTTACAAAAGCTAAAGTAAGCCATCCGACTATATGAAAAATTCTATAACAAAAATTTGTTTTCATACTTTTTTTAAGATCAATTCAACTTACATGGCGATAAGTTTAACAAATCGAGATTCGAAATAATTTATTAAAAGTCCAAGAAAAAATGGCATTAGATTATAAAACCAAATGCCAACAGTTAAAGCAAGCTAGAAAATTATATTTGAAAATGATTGACTAATCATTATTTTCTATTTATATCTTACCTTATATTGCTCTGTTCGCGGACCACAATCGTTAGTACTTGTTTGATTCATGACATTCGAAGTATCTAGCTCACTTTTATTAGTACATAAATTTGAATAGATATCATATTTTGGCAATATATCAAAGAGAGCAGAAAAACCGAAAATATTTCCTCCAAGTAAAATTGATTCAATTATCAAAATTAAGAGGCCAAACCATTTGCCATATTGACGATATATGTTTGTAATAGACATAAGAATTCTAATAAATCTAAAATTTTTAAAAATAAACTAATAATCTATAGATATATTCTTAACTAGATATCTTTCTATTTGTCTGCAAAATATACTTTATAGTTAAGGTTCGATATCGAACAACATTAATCAATCAACTGTTCATATCTGAATTAACTTATTTTTTAATTGTATGTATAAAATAAATTATAACAAATTGCATGTATAATTTTATTGATCATGTCTAAGACGATTATTGTTAATTGTTTTTATGAAATAAGATTTACAAACAAAGAGGAACATTTAAGATATGTAAAAAAAAACAAATTTCTCCTATACTTTCTATATTGAAGTCCTCATCAATATTTTATTATCACGCATCATATGTTAGCAACTTTTCAATTAGAATTTTTCAGCAGCTACCGGGACTTATTTTGTTGGAATTTATCGGGACTTTTCAATAAGTCCGTAAGCACTTTGGGATAAATCCCATATGATTTCTCAATACATAGAATTTGTGGGTGAGGGTGTGAGGGTGAAGATGAGGATGAGAGTGTGAGTGTATATGTGGGTGTTAATGTGTTACAATATGATCATAATTAATAGATCCCTATTGAATAAATAAATCCCGAAAAAATAAGTCCCGGTAGCCCCTCGAATTTCATGAGTATCCGAGTTTTGTAATATTTTTAGATGATTAAAAAGTTCGTCTTTTATTTTTCTCAAAAATTTCTGATATCAAAAAAGTAAAAAATTTTTTTCTTGTTGGATTCCAGTGAAAAATACACAATTTGGTACATAATTCAATGTTGGTGACGAATATCTGATTGTTCTTAACGTTTTTTTTTTATTTCATATTGGTTTAAACTGTGATTTTCGAAAAATCAATGAAAGGCGACTATAATGTTTTGACTAAAAAACGTGGATTTTGATAATATATATACCATTGGATAGAGGAAGTTTTTCTCTACAAATCTACATATATCCCGGTTTTTAGTTTATTATTCGATGCAATTATGATTGTTAAGAAATAATATAATTTTCTGAAAATCTATTTAAAACGAAACAATTTTTATTTTGAACGTCTGTTTCCTAGTAAAATCTTAAAATGTCATTTATCATAAATATATTTTCCAATTTCATAATAATCAATATTTTTGGAATAACTCATGACTAACAAAAGATTAATCAATAAAATTATAATTGACAGTTAGTTCATCTAAATAATCTTTATTTATAATGAAAATTTCAATGAGTTTGTTTTTATCGTTGAGAAGATATTGATATTATTATGTAAAAAAAAATTAAATTTCGTAACGTTTAGTCACGCCGGATTGAGGATTATCATACTATTACAAACTGATCTTATTTTAGCTTTAGCCGTATTTTAACTTACTGTGATTATTATTGCGACAAACAAAAGACGGAAGATAAATCAATTATTAACTATAAAGTTATACCGATGTTCGACGATTGAAATGTGATAATCTGAAAAATAGAAAGAATAATATTAGTGTCTCGTGTCAGGTTTTTTTTTTTTCTTCAAAAATCTAAACTCGCGAGTTTAATAAAGAAAAAAAGAAAGAAAATTATTATTCTCATGAATATGTCATAATCATATTTCTAATAAACGAGAAAAAAAACATATCTTTATAAACAGATGAATGTATATCAATATGATTACAAAAATTAATACTTATTTAACCATCTTACTTGACAACTTACAAACTTAAATAATGAAATTTTTAAAAAACACTTTTATATAAATGATGTATAAGAAAGATCAACATACGATTTTTTATATTCGAAGCATTATTATAATAAACCAGCCTAGAACGAGAATTATTTGCAATGAACACTAGTCATTGTTTTGTATAACAATATATAGGAAATAAATTAAATTAAACTTCTCTCAGTCATGATGTGAATTGAGCACAACTGACTTACCTTTAGATAATATATTTCAATTTAAAACATAGAGAAAATATAATAAATGACATGAATATGGAAAATTACTTACAATAATCATTCAATATAAAATTTGTTTTTAGTTGATTGAGAGATTTTTATAAAGCTTAAATTTTTTTGTTTTCATATTACATTTTATAATTGACTAAAAAGTAACGAATCATGTTCGAATAATCCCATAAAATGAATATAGATCTTGTTGAACGAGAAATCAGTATTAACATATATAGATAATAGTAGAATGATATTGACAGACAAACTTTTGTCTTTATACAAAAATATGATTGTCCAATTTTCAAATTTTCATTTGATATATTATTATGTTTAAGATTAACAAATAATTGATTTATATCATCAGTAATGATGATGGAATAAATACCTTAGATTATTGTTGATAATCATTTATTCATAGTTTTTGAACTTAATTAAGTTTTATACATAGACCATAAACGATAACTCTTGATCTTGACGAATAATAATTATTAATAGAATATTTTTCATTGATAATTGGAAAAGATTTATATGTTTTATTATAACCAACTGTAAAATATTCATAACGTTGATTAGATGAGAAAATAAATTTATTACCAAGATAATTCGGGTCTTCATCAATTATATCGAGTATAATTAGTAAGTGTTTGATTAAGACTAGTTCTATCGATCTTCGAAATTCAAATACTGAAAAACTTATCATAATATTTTGTTAGTTATGTAGTAAAACAGAACAAATCAGTCGGTAGCTTACATTTACAACAATTGAGTCTTTCTAATCGAGAATATCAAGAAAGATTTACCTAAAAATTTGTTCTGATTTCTGACAATCAGTATGCTGAAGACGTGGTTCGCATAATCATCGCAATCTTGTGGTATAAGATGCTATCTAAAGGCTATTTCATAAGGTCGTTATATTTGATAGCTGCATCTCTGAACAGAAAGCCGATATTTCCGGAATTCTGATGTTCAATCAATTGAACTCTCTATTCATCCCTATTAACTATACAATAGCCACAATGTTCAATGTATGTCGCTATCCTATCAGCAAACTGTCGGATGAGTGATTCGGTGAAATCAGCCGTAGATGACTTGATCAAGAACATGTCATGAAATGATTATATTTTCATTATCGGAAATGAAGTAATGTTAGCAGTCTCTCAGAATTGCGAGGCTTGAAGACGGATAGTGGAAAGAACGGACGATAACTCACTAGATCGAATTTGTTAAGGAAGATCAAGTGTGTTGTTGGCAGTTGATGAGCAAAAAAAGAATCAATAACACGCTGGAATCTCACTAGAGAAAAAAAAAATGTTTTCAAGATTGGAAAAGGGTCATCACTTTGACTTCCATCCTTCTTAACCCCCATCGCTTAGAATGTTCCTGAGTAATGTATGAAATATCATCCAATGATAGAGTATTTAGTTCATAGGCTTTATCAGAATAAATTGATGTCGATAATGTAATTGATATTGTTGTCATTAGGTGCGCGAGTGCATGTTTTTTTCTTCACATTGATATCAACACCCATACCCAACCAACGTCGATGTTACATCAACTAAGATGGTAGCCAATCGATCTGTTAATACACTAATCAATTAAAATAAAATGTTATATATACAATGAAAAAGGTTTTTTCAGTAATACAGGAGTCGACGAAAAAAGAAAATCGGCGAAAATGGCCTAATACTACACGATTAAAAAATATTTTTCTCAGAATAGTGAAATTCTCAAGTGTTTAACTGTTTCTGTTATCGAGTCAAATCTTTTCGATTTATTCTTACTTACGTATTATTAAGTCTACTAGAATTGATTATAAATAAAACTTGATAATTTGTGAATGATCATTGGTTTTCATTTATGTGAAGTGCTTTTTTTTGTTTTGCTTATGATAGTTTCTTTGAGAAATATATATATAAGAAGAAATTTGAGAGATTAATTTAAATCTCTCGACATCAGTTTTGTATGACATCATTTTATTGTTACTTCCTATTTTGCATTGTTTTACCAACTTGATGAAAAATTCGAAATGTCGATTGTGTCACTATTTATTTTGTAAAATATTCTCACAGCTTCAATATTTGTCTAGTCAAATAGGTTGACAAATACAAAACAAGAGAGAACGAATTATTCAAAGATTATTCTTCGATCTTTTTATTTTGAAATATGTATTATTTGATTATTTTACTCATATAGACTTTTTCACTTTCATACTAGTTATAAAAATATTTTAGTCACTTGCTAATAAATAAAACTATCAAACATTGTTACTAAGCAAAACTATCGTCGAATAAAGACCCTATCATTATCAAATAGTGTAAGGTGATTAAAAGAAAAAGAAAAAAACTCTTCAACAGTTTAATAGATATAAAAGCCATTGTCAAACGAATTTCTCACAAACATATGTAGAATGCAGTATTAAAAATTCTTTTTTTCACTAATTAATTAGATTTTGATCAATATGGTTGAAATCCAATGGGTTTATTCATGACATAACCGTTCTTGTTATAGATGTAATATATTACTTTTCTTTTCTTTGGATGAAAACAATGAATCATTATGTATACAATGTCGGGATTACTTATCGCACAACAAATCATCACAGGTGTGTGGGTGCTAATCTTCTATGTATCTCATCGACACCTTAACTCACTTCCTTGCATTCACACGCACATCCTAATTTGTTTTAGTGTCAAATATTACAATTGGTGAACAGGGAAAAATTTTTTATTAGATAAAGTACTTTTTGCTAAACTTTAACCAAGAGTTTCTTCTATAAAGTGTCCAAAAAGAGGCAACAAGGTCAAACAGATTGAATCGAGTTATAGAAGAAATAATAATGTCCTTTTGTACTCTCATTGTGATATTCTTACCAGAGACTGTTGAGGAACACTTTTTTTTTCTTGGCTCTGTTGTCATCTACCTTGTCTTACCTTGTTCTATCATGCTGAGTAGTACTTTCAGGATTGGGAAGCACAAGACTCCTTGCAGAATGTATAAATTGAGGTTGGCTATGAAATGAATTGATAATCAAATGAAAAATTCTGCTCATTTTTCATGTTTAGTACTCATATCTTACTTATATGATTTCAAATCGATGAAAATATTACGATTTCGTTTATGTGATAAGAAATGTCGAGTCTTTTCGCGATAGAAAAAAATATTTAGTGAACGATGGTAAATTAGAATGACTATCATACTGTAAATTTCTAATGAACTTGGTCGAAAATATAAAATCATCACTAGTTATTGAAATTACAAAGATGATAAATTTTCTGAACTCGTTAAAAGAAAAGATTCTTTTTTTCCTACAAGAAAGAAAACAGATTTTGTCACTTAACTACGGTATTCTAGTTTCGAACCTGTATCATATTCATTTATAATTCAGCTGCAAAAATTTGATGAATTAACAAAATCATTTTCTATTTCATATATATCAATGATAATAATGTTAAAAACTTACATTTTAAATGTAGACAGAAGACAACAACAATAAGATGGAATTGTTTTAGGCTTGGTGAATACACTCATCTTTTCTGACTTTTTCTGATCCTTTTTTTTATCCTATTCACGACAATAAAATAAGAGATTCTTTTTCTTCGCTCGATCTATCATTAAGATAAGAAGAAAAAGCTTCTTTCAAGTAGTGATAAATTTGTATCGGTGTATATGCCGATGTTGCTTAGTTTTCTATATATATTTTTTTGTGGTTCTCTCAAAAAAAGAACAAGATAAAAGCATTCTATTTAGCCCCGTCAATTTCTCTATGACATGTTTATGTACACAGAAAAGAATAGGTGAACGAATTACATTCGTACTACACGGAATATAAAAAGTTTGCAACTTATATTACTGACGGGTTGTAGATTGTTTACTGTTGATGTCTATAAGATTACGGCCTATGAATTTTGTAGCTAGGCACAGTCACATGATAATAATTTCATAATACAATTTTCATTTACCGAATATATTCTCTTATCTACATCTCATTATAAGATGTTATAGTTCTTTTTTTTTTTTTTTGTTTTTTAACATATTTTATCTTGTTCTGCTGCTTTTTTTCAACTCCATCTGTTTATCGTATCATTGAGATATATTTTTTTCTAAATTTTAAAAATAACGCCGAGTATCTCATTTTATATAAGAGTTTTTTTTTTTGATTTAGGTTGATATTTACATGCATAGATATCTCATATATACTAAAATCAGCTTATTATTTATATGAAAAACTATAGTTTTTAGATTTTGTTGTATGACTTTAATATTAAATTGTTTAATTGTTTTATCGATAGTACAGTTAACGAGACAATAAAAATCTATAATAATATATAGACGAATTATTAACGCTCTCTCGACAGGTAATTTCCATTTTCGCCGAATTTTTTTTTTCGCTGACGACGATTTTCGCCGAATTCCAACTTCACCGAAAGAATTTTTCGCTGACGGAGATATTGGAATGAGTGCACATGTGGGTGTAGGTGTAAGTGTGGGTGTAGGTATACGTGTGAGTGCGTGTGTAGGTGTGGGTGTGGTTCAGGGTCATTAAATGAACGAAAAATTCTTTCGGAGAAGTTGGAATTCGGCGAAAATCGTTGTCGGCGAAAATGGACTAATTCCTCTCGACATACGATAATCATTCTCGTC